AAAACGCATTCACGAGATGAAAATGGTGGAGAGCACCCCCCAGGACAACTGCTTATTGAATCCCCTCCAGTGAACAGTAATTGTCTTTAATGAATAATAATTGTCTTTTGCATCTCCATCCTAAACTGAATAGCCATGACAATATGCAATAAAACATTAGTATTTTTTATTTTATAAAATAATAAAAAATATTTTTATTTCAAATTTCGGATTTGATTTTTTATCGATCTCGTTGTACCACTGTTTGGACCCAAAATGTTATTTTGGGCCGAGCTTAGAAATATTCTCGGGCCAATGGTGTATTTAGAATCTTGTCATGGGCTGGCCCTGTCGAGATTGGGCAAATCCTGCTATGAAGAAGATTATTTCAGATAAAGGTGAAGTAGTCGAATCTTGGTTTGTTTGAAGGTTTGGTTCAAAGTCCTATGGAGATTAAGATTGGTCAAAGTTTAATCAGATTGGGTTGAAGAGTTCTAATCCTAATATATCTCTAGTTTAGCCATAGGGGTTTTTGCTGCTATAAATAGAGGAGGGAGAGCATCATTCAAGTCTCTCCAATTCAACACACAAACTGTCCTGCACAAACTCTCACTCTACGTGAAACCTCTTAACAACCTTGAGATTTTTATTTTCTTTTTCTTGCCGACACATCTTCAGTTTGGATAAACATCATTGTGAAGTCAAGCAGTGGCATCTTCAGTTTGGATAAACAACACTGTTGCCGTAGAATCAGCCTACAGCAGAGCACATTTAGTTTGGATAAACAGCACTGCATCAAGGCCGACTGGTTATCTATCCAAGTTTCGGTCAAGAAGGATTTTTGAGTCCTTATTGGTAGAGGTCATCTCACTAGCCTTCTTGGCAAAGTGAGGTTTTACAGATTATTGGGCTCGTCGTATTGAACGCCGAGTTGTTTTACGATTGGATATTCACAAGTAAGTTTTAGAGTTCGGCATTCTGACGGCCGAACCACATTCACCATCAAGACATGCATCTCTTTTGAGTACTTGTGTCCATACAATTTGGTGCCAATTCAGCATGCTTATACTCTTACGAATATAATCACCGTGACTGAACTCGGCACCTACGATTCGTGAACTTTGCAAGACTAGCAGCCATGTCTTCAGGCTCTAGAACCCGAAGGCTGAGACGTGTTCCTTCCTTGGCCGCAGTTGCAAGATCAATAAGTCAGCAGCGCGCTCAATGCAACATCAACACATTTTACTCCCCCGCCGAGCTGACGAGTTGGTACACCCCGCACACAACCGAATGACGTAGTTAGCTTATTAATTACTCGGCATGTGCGCCATGTAGGCTTGGTAGTTTTTATGATCAATAACCACGTTTCATTAAATAAGAAATTACAACCCAAAGTATTTGAGAAAATATAAAATTATGGTGTAAGGTGGAAGATAATGATAAGATATTTATAGAAAAATTAAATCTTTTTTTCGGATTTTTTATTAATTGTTTACATTTTTATTGCTTTTTACATTTTTTTATTAATTTTTTACATTTTTAATTAATTTTATAATATGGCTTACGTTAGGATGACGTCAGCCTTGCATCAACTTGCCCTAAGACACTTGAGCCTGCGATTCGAGCCCGCCCTCTCACTCGGACCCTCCTCAACCCAATCGCGCACATGGGCTGGAGCAAGGAGGGAAGGCAATTGGATTGAAAACCTCCTCGGTCCACCAGGCTATCCACAACGATGAAGCTGCTCTTATGATGAGCACGTTTGTAACATGGTGATTTGTCTTCAATCGTGTCTCATAAACACCAGGCCTATTGTATCCCCTTCTGTGCTACTTCTCGTCGCCGTTAGCATCCCGGCCTCGATGACCATGATCTTGCTATGGTTCATGGAGGTGGCTAATGGGGCTCTGTCTATCGTTCATCATTTTGGTTGATATGGTTATAGCAATTAGCTTTGTAATTGTAAATATACAATGTGTTTAATAGTCTTTTTGTATATTTATTTCTTCAATCGAACTTTTCTATAATAACCCTGAATTTTTATTATTTTTAAGTATAATGGCCATTAGAGTTGATCTCATAAGGTCCTTATTTGAAGATTTATGAGGTCCTTTTTTATGTGAACCTTTAGATTAATTTTACGATAGATTACGCTATCAAGTTAAATAATTGTTTTTACACAGAAACACAATAATTATGTGAAGTGATTAAATATAAAAAAACTTTCTCGCGTGAAAACCTTCATTCTTCTTCCTGTACCGTCTCTCTCCTCCATATCCCCTTCCTCTTTCCTCTCGATCTCTCTCTCTCTCGATCGTTCACTCCCCTTCTCTCTTCTTGAATTATTGTTTTTTTCCTTTTCACGAATAAAAAAAGGGAGAAGGACATGTTTCAAATTTTTTACCGGTGTCAACAAATTTCATATGATAAAAGGGTTCACGCCTTCAAAAAGAAGGGGATCTCAATTTTTTTTGGTGTTTTGTAACTAATTGGGTTTGAATATTATTTATAAAAGATTGAATGTGTAAATTTATTAGGGTTTTATGAAATTGGATTTACTGAGTTTAGATATTTAATAAAGAGATTAGGTATTGCAGATATAAGAGATTCGACATGACGTGAAACCTTTTTCTTTCTTTTTATTTATTTTGTTTTATCAATTAGGATTGGGCCAACGTGTAAGTCCCGTTGATGATTCCCTTGAATCCCTTCATTGGCAGAAATCTTCATCTGCACAAAATTAGTAATTGACCATTGGTATATAACTAATTAGTAATATTCATGTTTAACTTTATTATTAATTAGATGATAAAAAGGGGATCGGAAATCAATTGGTGACTTCATTACGGTAGTCCATCTTTTTAGAACATTTCAGGGCTACGATCATGTGGTTTATCAGTGCCAGAAATCGAACATAGGACTTGTTGTTGCTTTTTTCAATATTATTTACACTAAGAAAGTGGAAGAGTGGACTAAACCTTACAATAAATTAGTAATATGGTTCAAATTCACCTTGACACTTGACACTTCATGTCACATGTCCCGGAAATTTTATACGGAAGCTAACTATGGTGATAGGCCCAAAAATGTCATAGTTACCCTTTATATTAACCATACTAACATTTCTCTCTTTGACGATTTTCCACCAATATTTAATCTCGTTTATATTATGGCTGCATCTAACTTTTCATTAGACTGCCTACGTACCCCTCGGAGGGATCAAGCCAATCGTAATTCACAACTAAATAAGAAAAGTAACAATTTGAAATCTTCTTTCTTACTCGTAAGGTAGAGCACTAGCTAAGAGCTTTCCTTCAATTTTAAATAAAACTAATTAGGCCATTAGAACTACATGCTTGTTGTACCGATGGTGCCATTAGTACAGTATCTCCCTTTTCCATCTTAATTGGACTTGCCACTCCTCACCATCACCAGCCGACAACATCCAAATATCAACTATCTTCTTAACTCTCATATGTCGTTTTTCATCATCTTTTTCGTATCCCCTTTATTTCCAGTCTTCTCTCCATCTCTGCATAATCCAAACTTCAGACTCCAAACAGCAGTTCTCTTCCCCTGCAATTGTAAGTAGCCCACCTCCCGTGTTAGCAACGGCAGCGTTACACATCTTCAAACCTTTAGCTTTCTGCAAAGAACAGGGAAATCTCTCTTTTCTGCACCGTCGTGACCCGTTTTTCTTTCTCCAGTTTCCCCTACACTTATGGTCCATGTTGCTCCTGTTCAATATATCAGAATGACAACAAAACAACACATCTTATTGGATGAATTGGTAGCCATCACACCTGTCATCTCGATGTGGATAAATGGTTGCCTGATCTCTACAACTCATGCCACGACTTACCTACATATCCCATTTTGCATGTAACTTTATTGACACCTCTTAACTTAATCGGCCAGCAAGCTAAGCATATAGCTTAGTCATCTCCAATTCCACAATGACGGCCCGGGGCTCCACTCCGTCGTAGCACGATATTGTTTGCTTTGGGCCCCGACCACGTCCTCATGGTTTTGTTTCTGGGAACTCACATGAGAACTTCCCAATGGGTCACCCATCATGGGATTGCTCTCACGCGAACTCGCTTAACTTCGGAGTTCCGATGGAACCTGAAGTCAGTGAGTTACCAAAAAGCCTTGTGCTAGGTAGATATGAGAATATACATATAAGGCTTAGAGGATCCTCACCCTTGGGCGATGTGGGATCTTACAATCCACCTCCCTTAGGGGCCCGACTTTCTCGTCGGCACACTTCCGGCCAGGAATTGGCTCGGATACCAAACTGACACATCCCGGCCCGGGCCCCCACCACATCCTGGGCTCTGCTCAGCCGTAGCATGATATTGTCTGCTTTGGGCCCCGACCACGCCCTCATGGTTTTGTTTTTGGGAACTCACACGAGAACTTCTCAGTGGGTCACCCATCATGGGATTGCTCTAGTGTGAACTCACTTAACTACTTAACTTTAGAGTTCCGATGGAACCCAAAGCCAATGAATTCCCAAAATGCCTCGTGCTAGGTAGAGATGAGAATATACATATAAGACTTACAAGATCCTCACCCCTGGGCAATGTGGGATCTCACACTTCAAATTTCTCGTCTCATCCCATATTTTTTTAGAATGTCACCTATTTTTGTTGTACGGAACATTAGTTATCAAATGTGGTAACTCGTAAACTTGAGTGCTTAAGAGAATTTATCCACTACTATGCTCGAATCCTCGTCTCCAAATATCAAATATATTATTTTAATAGGAATACACATGGCTCCCATAAATGATACAATACGGCCTATATATTATAATGCTTGCATACCTTGGAATGTGCGTACACTTCAAACTTCAATTCGTATGAATTAATCTAGAGCGCCGTCGACCCAAAAACAAATATATTTAAGTGCCGACCCATCATGTGGCCGGTTTGCCTTCCCAAGTCACAAAGAAAGAACTGTCCATGTATCGACAAGTGGTGCCATAATTTCTGATCTAAAATTGAAAAATGCGGAAAACAAACCATTCTCTAAGTTTGCATCTATAAATACAAACAGGCCCAATAGTCAATTCTCAACATCGAATTGGTTCATTGCATTCGCATCCAATTTTAATTTCATTTTCTTTCACTCAGACATGGAAGCAACTTGTCTATGTTCCTCCTCACTTCTTCCTTTGCCATTTTTGCCTGCAGGCAAATCTCAGTGCACCAGAACTGGATTACTGCACAGGAGAACAATGCCAAAGAGATCATCAAGTGCTAGTGCCGGCACTACCGGTCTTGTCATTGTAGCAGCTGCGAGAGACAACCGCGAAGGGCCATGGCGATCTGTGGTCGATGAGAGCTTGATCGTTCTGAGAAAACGCATTCACGAGATGAAAATGGTGGAGAGGAACTACGAGCCTCCTCAGGAATGGATGCATTGGGAGAAGCAGTGTTACGCAAGTTATGATGACCATGTTTGTAACATGGTGGGTTGTCTTCAATCGTGCCTCATGAACACCAGGCCTAGTGTAGCCCTTTCTGTGCTACTTCTATTCGCCGTCAGCGTCCCGGCATCAACGGCCATGATCTTGCTACGGTTCATGGAGGTGGCTAATGGGGTTCTGTCTACCATTCATCATTTTGGTTGATATGGTTATAACAATTAGCTTTGTAATTGTAAAAGTACAATGTGATTGATAGGGATTTTGTATATTTATTTCTTTCAATTGGACTTTTCTATAATAACCCCGAGTTTTTATTATTTATAGTGCGAGCTGAGGTGCTCTCCTAAGGTACTTTTTTATTTTGAGGATTTGTGAGGTCTCTTTTATATGATCTTTCATATTAATCTTACGATAGATTAAGCTATCAATTTAAATAATCTTTCTTACATGGAAACACAATAATTATGCGAACTGATCAAATTTAAAAAACTTTCTCGCATGAAACCTTCTTGCTTCTTCCCCTACTGTATCTCTCTTCCACATCCCCTTCTTATCTCCTCTAGATCTCTCTCTCCTCCACGTCTCCTTCCTCTCTCCATCTCTCCATAATTCACTCCCATTCTCTCCTGAGTTTTCGTTTTTTTCCTTTTTGCGAATGAAAAAGAGAGAGGACATGTTTCAAATTTTTTACCAACATCAAAAAATTTCATAGGATAAAAGGGTTCACGCTTTCAAAAAGAAGGGGATCCCAATTTTTGAAACCAATCTCAATTTTTTTGGGTGTTTTGTATCTAATTGAGTTTGAATATTATTTATAAAAGATTGGATGTGTAAAGTTATTAGGGTTTTATGAAATTGGATATGTTGAGTTTAGATATTTAATGAGGAAATTAGGTATTGCAGATATAAGAGATTCAACATGACTTGAACCCTTCTTCTTTCTTTTTAATTATTTATTTTTTTGTTTTATCAATTAGGATTGGGCCAACGTGTAAGTCCCGTTGATTATTCCCTTGAACCCCTTCATTGTTAGAAATCTTCATCTGCACAACATTAGTAATTGACCTCTTGATCTATAACTAATTAGTAAATCAATAATTATTCGTATTTAACTTTATTGTTAATTAGACGATAAAAAGAGGACTGGAAATTAACTGGTGATTTCGTCACGGTCGTTCATTTTTTTGAGGCATTTCAGGATCATCATCATGTGGTTCACCAGTATCAGAAATCGAACCTAAGACTTGCCGTTACTTTTTTTATATTATCTACACTAAATGAATGAAAAAGTTGACTAAACCTTACAATGAATTAACAATATGATTCAACTTCACCTTGCATCGAATTTAAGACCTCTATTATTTGATTAGAACAAAACATCAGAATAACAATAAAACGCGTACTAGATAATTCCTACCCCCACTTGACTTGACCCAACCGAAGTCACGGTAAATCGAGCAAAGCGGCGTAAAAATATGGAGGGAAATTGAATGTCAAAAGAGTAAAAAGAAAAACGGGGAAAGCGGGGAAACAAGGAAAGAGGATGTCGATTGGTTGGGCGACGTGGGTTATTTGCGGTTAGAATCCCCTTTCCCTTTTCACCTTTCCCTCGATAAAATGCTTCCTCTCTTTTCTCCTCCTCCTTCTCTCCCACCCAAACTGTAAAAATGGTTGCTTTCTTTCTGATGGGTTTTCTTTTCTGTTAATATTATGAATTCACAGCACTCCATTGTTTCTGTAAATTTGTAGTAATAGTGTGTGCAACGACAACACTCCATCTCTTGCTTCCATCGTTTCAAGCAAAAAGATTGCTGCTTTCTTCCTTTCTTCCATCGCAGAGAATCCCATTCCCATTCCTGTAAGTCTCCCCCTCTCTCCATGATTTAATCTTTCCCACTTTCCATTCATCAGCTTCATTAATTCATCTGGGCAACGTCATTCTCTCTCTCTCATTGGCATTTCTGGCGTATTTTGATTTGGGGCAATTCTTTCGAGTTTTTGGATTCTGGGTTTTCTTTTTGTTTTCCATATTATCAAAAGAACTAATCTTTTTTCATTGGATGGTTTTAGTTTTGCATTTTCAAAATTGGGTTTTCTTTGTGCCATTTCAATGCTGTTAATTCTTTGTTTTTAACTAATATTCTGTAAAAGTTGCTAGAGTTGCATTTTCTGCTTCTGATTTTTCACAAAAAGGTACATTCACTTTTGATATTTTCCCCCTGTTGTGTTTTTTTGCTCAGCTTTTTCTCCCCTATTTACCTTTTTTTTCCCTCTCCTGCCTGATGGTCCTTTATTGATCTTGATGCAGCTTGATTGCTTGTTCTTTTGCCCACACCTCCTTTTTTGGGATTCTTCTTCTCACCACTTTTATTTTGTTTTGAAAATGTATGGATATTATCTGTTGCATTGATAATTAGATTTCATTGTACTGTGTTAATTGCTGCTCAATGTTTCCAGAACATCCCTTTCATCCGTGAGAAAATTTGAGTGAAATGGAGGAAAATAGGAGTTTGGGTTTTTCTGTTAGATCTTGTTTTACTTTTGTAATGTAAGAAATTTGCCTTATTTCTAGAATTTAGAAGATCGTTAGGGTTTCATTATTGTCCCACAATTATATACGTCTCACATCTTTTCTTTTGATGAATAGGGTTCATTTTTATTGTGATGCGTACATCCGTTTGACTGAGGTACAGGTGATGTTCACAAACCTTTGTGGGTTCTTAGTTGTTGTACTTTGACAATTTTTTGGTCTTTATATGATAATTGCTTTTTACCTGCTAGCAGGGTTTTCATGTTCTGATAATTGCATTCTCTCACAAATGGGAGTTCCTCTTCTTTTGCTCTGAGAAAATTATCCGCTTGATAGATTAATATATTAAATGACCTAATTGTATGAACTTTAAGGTTGATTGTTTTGTTGACCCTTGATGTCCTAATTTGTGCTATCAATTAGAACAGAGCATTTGGCTTTTCAATTTCACCATTTTTTGACAATGTTTGATTCATATACTTCATTAATGGATCTTTTGAGTGGTTGTCATTTTGAAATTATGCAATGTTATGGTGTATTTTGGTTGCTATTATTCGGTGGAGATTAAATTTGAAATCCAAGTTAGGCTGCGTAGAAGATTTTTAACTGAACTTTTTGTTTTTATCATTTAAAGGATGGGGGATCATTTTGTGTTGTTCGTGGATCGGTTGATCACTGAATCTACCCTGGAAGCTGTTATAGAGAGCACATATCAGTTGCAGCACCCAACACCCACAACAATCCAAGATATCATGGAATCTTCCCATCAAATAGATATGAATACCCTGTCATCTCCTAGTAAATTTGTACAGTGTAGGATTTGCCATGATGAGGACGATGATTCAAACATGGAAGCACCATGTTCTTGCTGTGGCAGCTTGAAGGTACGCTGCACTTTAGTTTGTGCATTGTCTTTTCTTTTTGAAACTTCTGCTATTTGATGTTCAAAGTTTCAGTCTTGTGTCTTCTTTTTCAGTAAGTTCTTATGTTTTCAGTTCAATCAAACTCATAAATATTCCTTTCTATTGCATCCAATGCTACAAAACTGAAATGCCTATGTCCCACTTTATTGATGATGTCGACGTTGTATGCCAAAATTCATTAGTTGTGCTCCTACTTCAGAATTACAGTTCCCTCACTACAAATACCTGTCTTAAATTGGTGGTTAATGTTACAAAATTAGAAGTTGGGAACACGGAAAATGGGAAATGGAAAATTTTGAGAAGGTGATGTTTCTATGAGTTGAATGGAACAATTGGCTATATCATTCCTTATGGATATTGTAGTATGGTTTAACAAAAAAAAAAAAAAAAAAAAAAAAAAAAAAAAATCAAGTTTGAAGCAGAACATCACTTTTAATGAGAGTTAAATAGTCAGTTCGATATTTCATAGTAGCAGGTAAAACTGCATTCTGAGCTTTAGTGGAGTTTATTATTCATGATTTCCTAACACTTAGAATCTTAAAGCCATTGGATAAATTTCTCAATAATATGTTTACTCCAGATCAAAAAAGGTTGAAAGTCTTTTGCGTAAGTAAAGACTGTAGACCAAATCTGGACTCCTAATTGTGGCCATCAGTCCCTGACCTTGTTACCAATGATCATGTCAAGTTGTCTTAGTAGCTTATTTATTCATTCCATATGGTACAATTACGTATCATATGGCAAAAACAACTATTGTCCTTGTCAGAGGAGCATAAGTTATCAGGGAAGGGGAAGAAAGCTAAGACTTAAGGGGAAGTATAGTTTTGGCTGTGTAATGAGAAACCTGGACAGAAGGAACAGGATGATACCTTTGAGGATTGTGTAGGTAGCAGCGGTGGGGATTTGTGGGAGAAAGTTTGTTTCTGGTCTTCACTATGGGCTTCGGTGTCGTCAGATTTTAAAATTTGCCCCCTTCGTATATTTGGCTTGATTGGAAAGCTGCTATTAGTTAGCTCTTTGAAATATCTTAGCTTGTTGGGTTTTCTGTTTGTTTCATTGTTTGCTTTTGAATTTTTGTGGACTTCTTGTCCACTTTGTGTATGTTTATTGTCTTCTGCAGTAAAATGTTGCTTCTTTCTCAAAATAAGATGACAACAACAACCATTGTCTTTGGCTTTCCCCTTCTCTGTCCCCTGCTTTCTGTCCATGTCAAGTAATTCCACTGGCTTTAGAATGGAGTTATTTATTTATTTAATCTTCACATATTTGTAGTACGCTCACCGCAAATGTGTTCAGAAGTGGTGCAATGAGAAGGGTGATACAATTTGTGAAATTTGCCACCAGGTATGCCATTCCTTTACAGAACATGTTTCTGACTTTAGTTGTGTTTTATGATCATTATTAATTTGGGAGAATTAAGAATTTTCATTTTCCCTGTTGAATGTGAAATTGCAGCAATTCAAGCCAGATTATACAGCACCGCCTCCTCTATATCATTATAGTGGTATCCCAATGAACTTCCGGTACTTTCTACCTATCCATATTCTCATGGTTTTCTGTTTTCAACAAAAGATCTAATTTCACTTTTCAGAACCAAAAACATTATATACTCAATTTGGTGTTACCATATTAGGGGGAACTGGGAGATTTCCAGAAGGGACCTGCAGAATCCTGGATTTATAGCAATGGTTACTACTGATCACGGATACCTGAATACAGACTTTGCTGATGAATACTCAGCTCCCTCTTCAAGAAGCTTGCTATGTTGTCGTATAGTTGCTATCATCGTACTCTCTCTCTCTCTCTCTCTCTCACACACACACACACACACACACACACACACAAAACAAGTGGAGACTTGTGAATACCCATTAAGCAAGAGTTTTAACAAGAAAAAATATGCCATGATGGCAGAGAAAGAACTGGAAGATGGGGTGACGTAAGAAAAGAAAAAACTACAAAACCTAGTAACATGCAGATGTTCACATGATGAAGTGGTTTAGTTGTTGAATTTTTTCAACCTATGGGGGAATTATTCTGTTTTAAAGTTATAAATGAAATTGAATACAAATGTTTTCGAATATGTCAATCCTGTCTAGCAAGAATTAATTGGTCTTGTGGACATTACTACTTCAGTCATATTTTACAGCATTTTTTGTTTGTTTTCAGTTCATGGTTCTTCTGGTTTTACGCCATACTCTTCCAATCTTAATAAGTGGAGCAGGAGAGTACTCATTGACGTTATTCACAGTGAGTTTTGCTAACCCCATTTTTTATTTAAAGGATGAAATGCTCTTCAGGCAAATGTAAAAAGAACGTACTAATATTTTCATTATGCTGTAGCTAATGGTGTTGAGAACGATTGGAATTCTTTTTCCAATCTATATCATGGTTAGAGTATTCACTGTCATCCAACGTCGGCGGCATCAACAGGTCAGTCATATAAGAAATTCATTGACCATGTATTTGGTACATAGTTGAGCTGTGAATGCCTTGCTTTTGCTCTTACTGAAACAGTAGAACTTGTTCTGTTTCATGTGTCTATGCATTAGGATCCTCAGATTTCCCCTGCCACATCAGACGAAGAGAATGACTTTGCATATCCATCACGTTTTATTCAAATTCGATAACTGATTCAGCCACTAGTCTTGGCCGGAGAATCATTTGCTGTTGCTGCAATATCCTGAAAAAGGGCTCGAGAATCAAGTTCTCCAGTTGTTTGTAATGCAGATGAAAGTTGTGGCCGAAGGCAATGTTCTTACATCGTCAGTTCAGGACAATGTGCCAGAAGTATACGCAAACCCTTTGCTTGCCGTGATTCGGAAACCTGTGTATATGACAGCATTGGGTATTAGCCTTTATTTTTTCAAGTACTTTCATATGAAAACTAGGAACCTATACTTTAAGTGTACATGTAAATGTTAATACCGTAATTCGATGTATTTCCATCCAAAAAGGGGACCCAGAACATGATTCAATGATCCTATGAAGGAGAGCAGTTTGCACTTGGCAGTGCAAGCAACAAAACATGCTTTATGCAACTCAATTTCTACCTCATCCTTCTCACCTGCTTTCACTGTTAATATACAAATTACCCCAAAAAAAAGGTGTAACTTGCTATTTTCTCATGAGCTTGTGGAGGCGATGCTCTTCTTTGCAATGACATGAAACCAAATGATTTGGAATTGGCCGACCAAGGGCCAATCCAAACCCCATTCGCCTTGGAATATTTAAATATAACTTAATACTACAGAGTTGAAGATTTAAACTTGACTATAGAGAACATTGTTCTAGCCAACTTGGCTAACTGTGGTTTGGCCATTTGCGCCAGTTTGTTTATGGTTTTTGTTGTTTCTTATGCCAATGCTCATATAAAACAAGGGAAGATGCAGTCTCTTAGGCCATCTTTAGCAGTGGAGAGACAAAAGTGGTGAGTTATATTTTAGGGAGTTTTAACGAAACACTCATGACATTGTTTACTTTTAACGAAAATGACATTTTTACTTTAAAAAGTCACTCCTGATACTATTCACTTACAACACCTTTTTGTCATTTTGATTAAAACTCAAAGTTTTCAAGTTATTTTCATTAGTTTTCATTATATTTTAATCCTCCATTCCTTTTTGATAAAAAAAAAAACTAATAATTTAACCCTCTAGAAATATTATATTTTAATGTGTAGTCTCTGACTATATTTTTTCCATCTCCAACGATACACTGCACAGTAATACTTTATTGTGTTCAGACTTCAGAGAGAAAAAGCTATGAAACAAACGCGGGGTACACAAAAAACTTGTTGGAGGGATCAATGCAATGTTCTGCGGGCATTCTGAAATCTCGAAGTGTCAAAGTGTTGGGCATTCGAATGGAAAATTTTTAGTTGTGACGGGAACACGGATGGTACATCACGTGTTTTTATGTAAGTGGTGACAAATTTTAATTTTTAAGCTATTAACCTTTTAACACACATATCCAACCATTTATCTTTCTCTCCATTTAGAGGCCGTGATCTTTACTGACGACAATGGAGTTCAGAAGGAAATAGAAAGAGAGACTTGAGATCATTAAGACTTGAATCTTGTGTTATATTAATTATTATATTTGTGATTTAATTATTATGTATAACGAATAATTTGATAAGCACGAATTCTTTGTGATATTACTAATTTGAAGTATATGTAATATTTGTTATAAATTATTATATTTTAATCGTCATGTTTTATCTGTGTCTGTGTTCTTTTTTATTTTTTGAAAGATTTGCTGCGTCGTCGTGTCTCTCAATTTCTATCCGCGTCTGTACAGAGGCTAAATGTGGTCAGCTCGAGAGCTACAAGTAGCCCATAGCCCGTGACTAGAGATAGCCCAATCCCTTTCTGAGATATTCAATTCAATGGGCTCTTCCTTTCTTTTGACATTCAAGTCAATGGCTAAGAAAAAAGGGAGTTTGAAGGTGAAAATGTTGCAAGAACCGGCTCGAAAGAGGGATTAAAGTTAGGAAGCTTTAACGAAAAGTTCCTAATACTATTCACTTTAACTAAAATTCATATTTTTACACTAAAAAATCAATCTTGATACAATTCACTTTACCCTTTGTTTTGTCCTTATCGTTAAAGCTCAAAGTTTTGAAACATTTTTCATTAGTTTTCCTTTAGAGTTAACCCTTCAATGAAACATCCTGGAAATAACAACATAGGCACACATCAGATCAATTAAGGATCGCGTGGCATAATCATCTCATCAGTAAATGGAAATTTAGATAGTAAAACAAACAATATCCCTTAAAATTTTGAAACTATCCAGGGGCAAAAATATGCCGAAAATAATACTCAATACTAAAATCAATCCCGGATAACACACAGATACAGACATTTCTAGGTAATGCAGGACAAAGTTGAAAATCTTGACACTAGTGGACTACGCGAGAGGCCTCAGAAAACCCGTTTATTCCCTTCAGCGGATGCACGACGTTGGCAACGACAGCAAAACGAACAACGAACTAAAAACACATGCGATGATGACAATAAATAAAGAGTAGAAAACCTTATTCCTCCTCAGTTTCAGACTCAGCACTCTGGAGCCAGTCAATGAAGGGTTTAGTGTTCTTCCAAATCTGAGAGCCCCTGCCGGCTCCCTTCAGTCCACCTTGATACCACTGCACTATAGTTTCTTCTTCCAAGATATCAGCATCGTAGAGAGCTTTTAAAACCAGGGCAACCTCCTTCAATGCACTTGAGCTTGACTTCCCACAGAAGCCTTCAATTGCTTGAAGCACGAGCAACTGGGATCCCTCATCCTGTGCAGCAGCTACAGCAAGGTACTTTATCTTCTTCGACACCTCCTTTGCAAACCCTTTCTCTATGCCCCCAAATAGCGCTTCAAAAAGAGCAGTCATCTTTTCCTTAGCAGACCCTGAAAGTGACGGCAGAAGGGATTGTAACTGTTTGGCTGAGATACCTTTATCTAGATTCTTTTTCAACTCATCAGTAAGTGTTACTCGAGCAGTGGAGTTTCCATTCTCCACAGCCTTTGTTGCTTCCTTGGGCTTCTCTGGTTCATTGGTTGAAAGCATTACCATATCAGCTGTCGCAGCACTCAATTGTTCTTGAATCCGTTGACGAGCTGCCTCTAGTGATGTATCAGTTTGCCACTGAACATCATCATCATCATCATCAACATCATTGGCCTCCTCCTCATCGGCCTGGCTGTGAGTAGGTGATGTGCGGTCCTCATCAGATCCACTTGTTTTTTTTTTCGAAGAGCTGGCTTTCACAGGGCCCTCCTTAGAAGAGGAAGAAGTGCCCTTCTTCTTTGCCTCTTTCTTTTGTTTCTTCAGCTCCTCATCAGCAGCTTCACCTTCTTTCAACCGTTCCTTTTCAGCCCTCCTCATTGCTTTCTTGTCCTTGGATCCCTTTTTCTGCTCGGGTGGGTTCTTAATAATGAAGGTAGTGAGCTTGTCTCTCATGTCGACATCAGACACAAAACCACACGCAGCACATTTCAGTTGAATCATTTGAGTCTTCGTAATCAAGATCTCTGTTTCTGGATTGCCACATCCATAACACTGGACGTATTTCTTAATAAAATTTTCAAGAAGGCCAGCTAGCTTAGCGGTGTCATGGGACCCATTAACAATAGAAGTCCCAGTTTTCTCATCAAATTTGGATTGGGCTCCAAGTTCACAACCAAAATACTTTGTAGTATATGCAGGGGGCCTTGCCAAGGCCTTTGCGATGTCCACCATGTTGACTATATTTGTCTTGATGCCATTTCCACGGCCCTCAATTTTGGTAACCATCCTGGGCATCTTATACCTGTAGAAGGCATCGTCGCTGTTCCCAGCACCAATGTTCAGTAAAGCCATCTTGTCTTGAACAAAGAAATCAGAAAGCAAATATCAAAGGTATCTCGAGAAGGAAATGCCGGAAGTCAAAGTGTACACAGCTGCGATATCGTCCTCTAACTCGAGAGAAGATTGATGTTCTGCAGTTATGGAAGGCTGCACCCAGTAGCAACCATGAAACTCAGAATATTCCTGATATGGCAACTGATGCATACAGCTATTTCCTTTTAACAAGGGTCTGTTCTTCTTCCTTGACCAAGGAAAGTACTCTCCAAGCAACCCAATTGATCCCAAATGGAAAATGGCCTTCTCGGACATAAAAGAAGCTTCACCGTTGAACTTCCTTGAAAATCTGAAAGTAGCAGATAATGTGCAGTGTTCCTGAATCAAGAATACTGAAAATTTAAATTCTAAAGATTTAAGAGTGTCATTGTCAGCATGTCACATAATTTTCCACATCTCAAACAACATGACTTGATGATTTATGCCAATGGAGATCATAAATAATTACAAAGAATAACATAAACCAGTCAGTTCACCAAACTTTGTCACTCACTCCTATTGTCAACTCACTGTTCACAAAAATATATAAAAAAGTTCATTGGTTCGGTATAACCATATAACTATGCAGAGTAATGCGCTCTTGCAACTTTCACACGTTGAGAGATGTTCAAATATGTAAGGGAATATACTCCATGCATCAACTTCAAAGTAACAAACTTTCTACGAAAATTTGAAATTACTATTGATAAATCCACCAAAGTTTCTCAATCACTTTGATTGTCAACTCACTGTTTGCAGAAGATATAAAAAATAGCACTTTAGCTGGTTATAGCTACACTAAGTAATGCACTCTTACTGCGATTCTCACATGTTAAAAGACCGACAATCGGATTGGCACACGATTATACGAATCATATACAAGAGAAAGTACTCTACACGTATACTTCAAAGTAACAAACTTTATACGAAAACCCAAAAGTATCATCGGGTAAGTATCATCAGTTGGTTCGGACCTCCACTTAGTTTCACCCAAGCTTCATCCTGGTCATGGATAGATCACCCAGGTTCAGTGACAATTGCCCTATCAAGACTCGCTTTCGCTAAGGCTCCAGTGGGTTCCCTTAACCAAACCACTGCCTATGAGTCGCCGGCTCATTCTGCAACAGGCACGCGGTCAGAGCCCTGGGCTCCTCCCACTGCTTGGGAGCTTACGGTTTATATAATCAACTTTGAAGTAAATATCCATCGGTCAATTTTTAACATTAATAATGGCCGCAGCTCAACAAAACCAGAATAATAATAAAAAATCCATAATCCAATACAAAAATATCAATCAATCCAATATCTTTCCACTAACCCTAAAACACAAATAACTGAGATTTCTTAAATATATGAACAATCGAAAATAAATAAGATGCAAAACACTTGGAATCGTAAATAAAATATACAAAAAAAAAAAAAAATTCAAAATCAAACGAAAAATACAATCGAAGATGAATGCTCGTACCTGAAATCCAATCGAGATCGATGCTTTCTGAGTGGAGAAAACGAAGAGGTTTGCGAGGTAGAAGATTTGGGGATTTAGGGTTTCAACGCGGAGGGAGTGTGGCTCAAAAGGGGTGGGCTTTTGTTATCTCTTGTGGTTTGTGTGTTATATATATACGGTTGAGGGCGACCGAGAGGAATTATCACGTGTTGCATTGACCAGTTTTAG